TTACAGAGAGGGTTGTGAAGTATTGGAACAGGCTGCCCAGGGAGGTGGTGGAGTCCCCATCCCTGGAGGTGTTTAAAAACCGTGTGGATTTGGTGTCGAGCAACATGGTTTAGGGACCCTGACAGTGCAGGGTGAATGGTTGGACTCGATGATCTTGAAGGTCTCTTCCAACCAGACAATTCTATGAATCTATGATTATATGTGCTGGTTGGGAGTTGTCGACCTGGTAGTAAATCTAGACCTAGGTCTCACATGTACCAATAGGAAATACGTGTGCCTCATCTTATGCATACAGGCACTCCTACATCTGAAGTTAACGTATGCATCTTTAATTAATAGATTCGGAACTTAATCATAGTTACCATGCAGTATTTCCTAGAAAACAAAGCTGATAAAGGTATTAAATGATTTTACGCAGTTTTTGACATGCATTTGTTCAAAATACAGTCTCAAATTTAATAAAAGAATAAACTGATAATAATCAGTTGATTTTTATATAGGACGTTTAAATAATGCATTTCTATAAGGTGTCTGTAGCAAACTCACTTCGTTCTTCTTTTAATTTCTTACGCTAATTTTAATTAGAAATCTGAAAGTAAACACCCTCATATTCATGGTAACATTTTTCCTTAGGTTTCAATTTCTTATTTACGGATATTTATATTTGAAGTACATTCTGTGTGTATATACACACACACATAGGTACAATGCATGATGGGATAATGTGGCATGGAAGCTGCAGGTTTTGTATTGCAGTATGTATTTGGGATTGTAAAATGTGGTCTAAAACAAAGGTTAAAGTCTTCTTTACCCACAGATATAAATGTGCACATATATCAGTAGATTGGAAAAGCAAAAGTTTTACTTTGCTTTCACAGATCAAATGTTTTAAGATGCTGGTAAATAAACAAACGCAGTAAGATGCCGTTCCTACTACATAACTTTTAGAAAATCAATAAACTGCATAGCCAATTAAAAACATGAAGGAGGAACTGAATTGAAGCCAAATGGAGACTGAAATACCAGCCAAACAATATTGTAATGATTCTTTTACCTTTTGACTCAGGAAGAGAAACACTCTCTTCAAAACCAACTCACATAACTTGTCACTTGGCTTCCACAGCTTTTCTTTTGGAACAAGTGATACTCCTAAACAATTTTTTGTGTTTATTAATAAGGGCCAGAAGGCCATGAAAACATGAAGGAGATACACTGTGACTCCTTCTCCCATGCCACGTGTCAGTGATTAACAAATACGCAGATTAGTAGTGAGGTCATTTACTTATCACTTCTTCCAAACACTGAAACAAAATAGGATTTTTTTTGTTCTCTCAAGTAAGCTACTTGACACTGTACTGATGTTTAAACTATTGTTTAAATGAAAACTGGAAATAGAAATAGCTCATTTTTTAATGCGTACCTTTTAAGAGCGGCGTATCAGTATCTTCTCAGTGAAGAAAGTTTAAAACTGCAGTTACTTCTTGCCCAGTCAAATTTGCTTTTTAAGCGGCCTGCTGCAGCAATAATGCCTCATATAAAGGTAATAAAGTCTTTTACTTAGCAAGTAAGAAAACTGTTTATCAGTCATGAAGAAACAAGTTTTGGTGTCTTTCGTGATCGAAAAAGCAGTTGCATTTTCTGGGTGGTGTTCCAAGAAGCTCCTCTGCAGACAAATGCTTACATCTGTTGTAATGGGCTGACAAAAAGCAACATTCAGGATAGACTCTTTTTTTCATTTTCTGAAATAATTTCCATTAAAGATTCATAATCAGCATATTGTCTCAGAGTTTGTATCATTTCATCTAGCATTTCTTCCCCTAGCATGAAACACTCAATATGATGCACTGATCTGCTTATCCTGTGGTCAGTAATCCGGTCCTGCGGAAAGTTGTATGTTCTGATCTTCTCTGATCTTCCTTTAGTCCCAATCTATCAAGTAAGAAGAATCAGTTTATCATCATCGTATTTTTATAAAAAAGATGAAATATTGATTAAGCATCTAAAGAGAAAGCTTTCTCCTCCTCTTATGATTATCCAAAATTTGTTATATAGTGCTTAGACCAGTTCAGTAATTGCAGTAATTGTTCTCAAATTGTAAAAGAACAATTTTGCTCTATCGTTTTCTAGTACTGTTCTGGTTCTTCATGTTCTAATCCAGTTTGTTTCACGAGATCTCCAGAATTTACATACTACTGAAATTTTAAGTCTGGCTAATAAATTACCTTTATTGCTGAAGTAGAATGTAATTTTTTCGCCTCATGTAAGTCTTCCCTGGGCTGCTGTTCCTCTGTATTTCAACTTACAGTTTGCAATTCAACATGGGAGTTACCCCAAGAACATACGCTTGTACAGAATTATATCTCTATGAAGTGAAACTTACCTGAATCTTTCGAACACTGTTTCTCTTTTTGGTTTCTTCTTCCAGTTTGGCATTGTATAGTTTAGCACATAGCATTTGCATAGCCTTCTCTTTGTTTCTAATTTGAGATCTTTCTTGCTGACATTCAGACACGATCCCTGCCAAAAATATCATGACATTTAACACTCAACAGTAACACATACTAAAGGGGTTTTGCAATTTCTAGAATAATTTTTTTGATGTTACAATAAGCTGTTTCTTTCTTCAATACATATTTTGGACTGGGAACGTAAAACTCCAGGCTTATTAATGTCTAACGATACATTTTGGGAAAGAAGTGCAGGCTGAGTGGTACAGGTGCTTTAAGGGGTAAGATGAGAAATTTAATTCGATATGTTGGGCAATAGGTAGATAATGAAACAAAAGATAAGTGATGTGATCTGACCTACAGAAGACACCTTTAATGCTTGAAATTTTTGGCCACAGTTCCAGGAAATTTTGGATTTAAGGAGCAGTAAAATAAATGAGATAGTGAGTATATAAAATAAAATCTGAATATACAAAAGTGGGCACTATTTTCTTTAAAAAAAAGGTGTGGTTTCTCCCCCCAAAACATACAATTCAAATTAAGATGAGAAGAGAACAGCCTAATAATGGAGTAGGGAGAAGAAATACAGGAAGGAGACAGCACAAGCTAAGATTAAGTAACTCTGGTAAGACTACAGTATGCTTTTATAAGATTACATAGCATTACTTTATGAAAGACTTATTTAAAAACAACTTTTATTTTACAAACCTTCACAATGAAGGTTTATAAACAGAATTAGGGTGACAGAAATAGAATAAGTAACAGGACAACTGTAAATGAAGAAAGATCAAGAGGAACGAAGAAGGGAAAGGTGGAATAGGAAAATGTCAGGAGATAAGGTGAGATATAAAACCCTCTTTGAACCATCTCTAGTGCATAATCACAAAAAAAAAATTGCAATACATTCTAAGATTTCTACAACAAACACTACTAACTGCCTTCAACAAAAACTAAGTCCATTTGCTGGTTTTAGTTTGTGGGTTTTTTTTCCAAACAGTCAGGCAATCCAGAACTTTTTGAATCTGAAGTACTTTTTTGTCACCGTATCGTGAGTAGAATTCTATCCTCTTCCCTGTTTACCTTCTGCTTTACTGAGGTGATGCAACAAGTGCAGAATGGATTAATGTCTCCAATAAATACAAAGAAATGGGTGGCAAAAATCTGGATACTTGAAGATAAAGAGCACTTGGGACTACCCTGAGGCTGTAAAGCCTGAGTAATGTTTGCAGTAGAGAGGAGGAAAAGTTAAAAAGCAATGAAAGTCAAGGCAGCTGTTGTGGATTGCTCAAAGGAAAGTAAAAAGCTTAGGAATGGCAATTAAAAAAGATATGATAGCTAAAATCAGGTAGCATTTGAAGGTGTATCTTATCCCTCCTACATTTCCTAACCTGAGCCCTGGGGGACGGGCCTCCTAATTATGTGTGTAATCTATGGGAAAGGAGCCAGCAGACAAATGGAACCTGGCATCCTGAGTAGACTCTGCAATTAAAAGCAACATTTTAATATGGAAATAGAGCAATCTCTCTTTTGGAGACTAGTCAAGAAAAGGTGAGTCATCAGATTTTAACCTACTCTGTTTTTCAGTTTCTTTTCCATTATTTTAAAGCTTAAATATAACTTCTTCATAGAAACTGATCTGGATGCTTTTAGAGTGTCATGCTTAATGGCAAAATGGGTAGCTTACCTACTGAAGCCAGTAGTCTTCACTATTACAAATTGGAGTGGGCACAAGATGGTGCATTTACAGGACTATAAACACACATGAAAACTGTATGAGAGCTCTGCTCTACTGTTGTCCAGGTTTGAAACAAAAAACATTGTTTCAGAAGAAATTCTGACAGCAGTTTTGAAATGTAGATCTACTAAGGAAAAAATTAAGCACCTGTTGGAATATGAACTATCCGTACTGCACTGTCTGTGGTATTGACGTGCTGGCCTCCAGCTCCACTAGCTCGCTTTGTTTCTATCCGTAAATCTTTCGGATTAATTTGCAGCTTCATCTGTCATGGGAGACAGAAAACAAACAAACAAACAAACAAAGGAACATATTTATGTTGTTTTCTTTGTAGACTTATGTCAAATATGCACAGCTGGTTTATTTTATAAGGCACTTTCAAGTAAGATTAAACTTTTTAAGGTTTATAAGTGGTAGCTCACATCTACTTATATTAACAATACCTAGTAGCCAGACTGGAACGCGATATGGTGGAAGCCAGGAAATCAGAAAAATAGTAGCTTAAGGCATAATCAACCTTTAGCACTAATCTTCTCGCTCTTCTGAAAGCTCTACACCCTCTTCCAGAAGACTTAATCAATATTTGAACTTGCCCAGGTGTTTTTTAAATACAATAGAACATATTCCCTTGGCTGGCTCTGGAATGGGGCGATGGTCTCTGGGAGGAAGGAGCAAGACAACTTTGGGAGAGAATAGCAAGGAATATTATCTTTGACAATTTGCTAAGTCAACATGAACCAAAGATCAAAACAAAGCTTTAATTCTTAACCAGCTGTTTTTAACCAAGCAAATATGGTGAGAATAAATTATCATCTGTACACTTTGAAAGGGGAAAGTGAGGACACTACAAAAACGAGGAAGAGAAGGTGCTAAAAGAAATCCCTGTGAGCTGTGCAAACTAATTCAGTCTTTTGTTACTTCGTAAAAAATGTAGAGTTTTCCACAAAACATGCAAGACAGTCATACTGAATTTTCAAGTTACAGTGAAGTAAACTGTCAGTGACTTTCTTGAGATTAGGATTACGAGCAAATCCAGGAATTTTTTATTTCACCTCTCTAGACAAAAAAAACCAAACAAATACAACTTAGTTTAAAACTAACTAATACTAAAAAAAAACATCATTAAGAGAGAATAACAAGAGAAACAGAAAACACCTGGATATCAGCAATATGGCATGTAAAAACATTGCTCATGGTAAAGTCTGTTATACTAAAAGATAAATATTACCTCAGTGGGTTGGGGTAATATTGCAACAGTCATTGTGCTGGTGTGAATGCGTCCTTGTTTTTCTGTCTTTGGCACCCGCTGAACACGATGCACTCCTCCTTCAAATTTCATGTACTTGTAAGCTTCAAGACCTGCTATACTGGCAACTGCATGTCTTAGGCCACCTTAAATGCCACAGAAAACTAGTTGTAAAACTAAGAAAAACTACTGGTACTATGCTTTTATATTTCAAACAGTGTATTTAGACATCATTGTCATTTGTTTCTTAAAATTATGACATTACTATGTAAATTCTTAGGCAGAATTATAGAATTATACTGAAAATGCAAGAAAATTCTTAAAACAAAGCCAGACACAGATACTCACACACTATCTCATGTAAAGGACTGTCAAATTCTTTTTTATAGAATTCAATTGATTCTTTTTATATACATAAAAAGATTGTCTACGAACCATGTACACACATGTACACATATCATGATAAACCATAGTAGAACTCTAACACCAGTAGTAAGTTTACATAAAGATCAAATTTTGAAAGCCACCTTCAGAAACTACATCAATTTTTTATTGTTAGTTGAGAACTTTACCATTCAATGGGAAAAAAACTAACTCTCTAAAGGATGAGTATTATTCATACTCCTCTCCTACTTGTGCAAATCTGCACCACTTTGATTCAGCTGCCCTATTCGACATAACTAGTGCTTCACTGATTTAATTTATAGCCATTATCTACTATCAATTCTGTAAGATAAATCTGTCATGTTTAAAATAAATCTGACCATAAAACATGTAGTTTAACAAATAAGAATACCTGTCAAAATCTTCAGTTTATATCAATAAGTTTCATTCTAACAGGTACCGTGAAATCTTTCTACTACTATGCAAACACTATTCAAAAGAACAAAAGATTTCTTCTTTACTCTAGAAGAATCTTATATAACCTAAAATAATTAATGTAGTTGACTAATAAAACTTATTTAGTCCTTTACATATAAAAGCAAGTACTAAAAAAATCATAAGCAACCTCTGCACATGAGGAAGAAGCCAGGCTACGTCAAGAGTGAAAATAACGTGAATGCCCACAAGGCTACGGCACTACTGACAAGTATTAATTATGTGATAAGCAGTCCATTACAAAAACTAATGTTCTGTCTTTTCTCCCTCACTTCTCCTGGCATAAAGATATATACCGTGGGTACAGTTTGTCTATTTGAACTGCAGGCACATCTGTGACACGTTCAGGAGAGTTTAAGTTTGTAGTGACAATAGTGTGCCTGTGACACCATAGTGCTTAGCACGAGATGACAAACTCGTTCAAAAGACAGGTATTTAGGTCATACTGTTTCAAATCAACTATTACCAACAGGTTTAATATGAAATGCAGAGACAAATTTCAACAAACTCTTTACCCTGGCAGACACCCCATAGGCCTGACAAATACGGTTAGCTCTTACTAACTATATACTCACCCCTTTCACCTAAAATGTCTCCTTCTATCCTGAAAGCTGATGTGCACAGAAGTGTGGGTTTGCACTCGGTTTTTGTGTGACATCTTATATCCAGATTGAGACAGAGTCCCCTATGTGTGCCTCTGTCTGCCATTACAGGGTGAGAGGCAGTGGACAAATAACAAAATGTAGGTCTGTGCTTTAACATGTGTGCTAAATCTTGAACGTGCTGTTTTTGCAAAGCGGCATCCCTTAGGGTAGGTCAATAAAGTCCATTAAGATTGGACTGAAATCAATTCTTAATTGCAGCTTTGTTTAACATTCACCTTGTTCACACATGCTCACATTCAGATTTCAGCCAAATTCTGGAGCTCTCTGAAATGAGGGAGTTCGACGTTTTCATGTAGGCCCTTATTTTTGCTCATGCAGTCCATAAAACCGGATTGTGGATGGGATGCAACAGTCTAGTGTTACCAGCAGCATCCTCAACTCCATTCTTACTCAGCACAGCGCAGACACTTGGAACCTGACGGTTCAAACATGTCTTTCAGTGGCAGTGCCATCTGTAGTGTCCCTACCTCCCAACTTATTTCTGTCTCCTCAATTTTCATAATACACAGTCATTTAAGTAAGATCATAAAATACACTAAAAGAGGCTGACAAAGGCTAGTGCTGCCTTTGTTCTTCCTCTGAATTTACATCCTACCTTCCTAAACATTCCTTTCAGTGCACAGGCAAGCCCTCAGAAAGACAAAAGTTTAAAATAAATATATATCCATTAAAAATCTAGCCATTTCAAAGAGAAAATACGGCTAGATATATACTAGGTTAATGTATTACTTCAATTTCCCATTTAAGGCATTAAAGAGAATGCCTCTGAGGGTGTGGGCTCCTTGTCCAAGGACTGAGCTTTCCACCAAAAGGGTAATCAATCACAACTCCCTTTCTCTTCCAACCACAGGACTGCAAGTTGAGTCAGACCTGACTTAAAACTATCCAATAACAGAGACTTTTTAAGCCAAATCAGGGGATTGATCCAATTAGCACTGTGGCCTCAAAATTGCTAGAGCTGAGAGAGAGAAGGAACATATGGCTGGTAGCTGGCTGAAAGGTGGGACAGCCTAAGCTGACAGTGAAACTATGTTCTCAAGGTGAAGTTGTATGTGACTGCTGGGGTTCACCCTACCCAAGTCTGCCTCAATGAAAAGGGCAACTCTCCTCTTCCCCTAGCATATGAAATGGAAAAGACCCAGACCCTTCTCCCATACTGTTTATATCCATCTAATGTGCACCAAGTTTACTCAATTTTTAAAAAAAAAAAAAAAGTAACAGAACAGAAGTGTGGGTATGCACTCTGGTTTTATGTGGCATCTTATACCCAGTTCAAGACAGAGTTCCCTCTCTCTGTCTCTGTCTGCCATTACAGGGTGAGAGGCAGTGGACAAATAACAACATGTAGGTCTGTGCTTTAACATGTGTGCTAAATTTTGAACATGCTGTTTTTGCAAAGTGGCATCCCTTAGGGTAGGTCAACTTTAAAAAAAAAAAGTTAACATATTTCTCTTGTCCTCTAAGACTGAACGAGCTCAGCTCCTTGCAAAGCATTTCCCTGGTCATGAACAGGGATAAACATGACTCTCCTCTTTCAGCAACAAGCTGTGTTGTAACATGAAGCTTCTTCTTGTCCCTACCTTCACTTGAAATGTGCAAATAATTTACTTGATAAATGACCTCTTGACCATAAAAAAAAGTTTATTATTAATAAAAAATTAGTTAATAAACAATACAGAATTCAAGGCTCATGAAATTAAAAAATATGTATTAATTGAATTGACAGCAGCCACTCTAGGAGATTGTGATATTATGAAAACCTGAACTCATGTTCATCAACTTGAAATAAGTCACATACTCAGAACTCTAAAGAAAATTATTGTTTGAACATGTTACTGATATAACACTTTTAAAATCAAATTCTATTAAAGATTTTAAGAACCCAGAAGTGTAAGTGAAGTCCATTATAAATTAAATTGTATCTGCATATCTGACAAGTGATTCATAGATTCATAGATTTATGGGTTGGAAAAGACCTTAGAGATCATCGAG